ATTTTAATCACATTGAAGGAAGCCCAAAGCAGGGCTCCATTTTTTTTCTGCCTAGGTCAGGTCCATCTGTTGTGTTTTGAAGGACTTATGTCTGGAAAATTGCGTGTGTGTGTGTGTGTGTGTGTGTGTGTGTGTGTGTGTGTGTCTCAGCCTGCCCGGGAGGCGGGGCTGGCATGGCACGTGGTGCCAGGGATCAAACCACAATCCCTGCACAGTTGACTAAACTTGCCTAAGCAGGCACTTTAGACTGCTGAGCTATCTCGCTGACCCAGTGAAATGGTTCTTATAAAATTTCTTTCCAGTCAGGCCCACTGATGGCCATAGGCTACTGTTTTCAATAAGTAGTAAAACACAGTGCCCTGAAACAACTCCTCACAGAACGTGTCCCTTTCTGTCAAGTTCATGCTTAGTTACCTTGACATGGTTTTGAAACAAGTGTAGAGTATTTCCTAGCCACTTTGAGGAGAAACCAAGATACTGAGCTCATAAAATAGTGGTTTTTGTTTCCACAACTTGAGCATAAATTCTCACCCATGGATTTAATTCTTAAACGGACAGCAGGGTACTTTTAGATGACAGGTATTCAAGTTCTGCCACATAAATCTGGGGATACAACCATTGTCACTTATCTTCTAAGTGATACAAAGAAATGGTCTTAGGGAAAGGGGGGAAAAGTTAAAATCTGTTCTGTACAGGTACCAACTCCCTACAATAAGTGCAGTCATGATATACTGCAAATTTAATAAAAGTTAAAAAATAAGAGAAATGGCTTTATTAAGCATATTTAGAGGTTGAAAAAATTCAAGTTTATGTGTGTTTACTCTTTATACTGATGATTTTATATACAACAAAAGACATGTGAGAATCACTGAGGTCGGCCTTGTTTTTTTACCTTTGAAAAGTTTCACTGTTTAGTTCCTGACTTGTCCATTTGCTGGAAATGTCAAATGTCCCCTACAGATAGTTTCTTTACTGATTATTTGTACTATTCAGTTTCATATCCTGAAATGGTTATGTTTTTACTCTGCCTGATCCCATGTTTATTATGATCTAAGACAAATTAGATTCTGAAATCAACTGATGCTTAGTAGAATAAGCGCTTGCCTGGCGAGCACAAGGTCCTGAGTTCAATCCCCAGTTCCTCCAAAATAAAAAAAAGAGAGAAAGAAATCAGCTGATGGAAAGTCTTGACCAAGGGTGTTTGCCCTGTTTATTACAGATTCAGAAAATGCTGATTTGGAGGGAAAATGTCATTCTTTACTATGGCATCAATTTATTCTCAGAATGATTCCCTTTAGGCTGAGGTGATAGCTCAGTAGAAGAAGTGCTTGCCTGGCAAGCATGGGGTCCTGAGTTCAATCCCCAGTATCGCAAAAAAAAAAAAAAAAAAAAAAAGAATGATTCCCTTGACTATTAGAAATGAACTCTTAGGCCTTCAAGATAATCTTTTATAACTCCAAGGGTATTAAGTATGTCCATTGTAGGAGAAAAACTAGAATAAAAATTGGTTTGGAATAGAACTGATAATATTCCATTTGTTGTTGTATTGTAGATTCAGTGTTACTGAGTTATTATGCTTTATAACATTTTTATGATATATTTATAAATGTCAAAATTTTTAAAGAAATAAACTAGATTACATGTTCATGGCCTACTTTGTTTAGTCTGTTGCTTATTGTTAATTACTAATAAATTAAAGGCAGGTGTGATGGCACATTCTTGTAATTCCCATACTAGGGAGGCTGAGGCAGGAGGATCATGACAGGTCACTTTGGGCTACATAGTGAGATCAAAGCCAGCCTGAGTGAGATTCTGTCTCAGAAAAATTATTGTGATTAATTAATAACGTTTTCAATGATGCATGGTTTGTGTGAATTAAAGATAAACTATTTTGTGTTCTTAGGATCTGAATGAAAATTGCAAACTATAAGATTCTTCCCTCCCTTCTCTCCTTGTAAAAAAAATAGAATTTTCTTAGTCTAAAATTGACTTTGTAAAAAAATAAAAATAAAAAAATAAATAAATAAATAAATAAAATTGACTTTGTTTTCAGATGGTGGCCAGCAGAGATCTGCAATCCCAGGTCTGTACCGCTGAACATCCAAGGCCTTAAACATGACTTAGGAGACTTCCCCGTGTTCTTCTTTGGTTCTCATGACTACTATTGGGTGCACCAAGGCAGAGTGTTCCCATATGTTGAAGGAGACAAAAGCTTTGCTGAGGGGCAGACTAGTATTAACAAGACCTTCAAGAAAGGTAAGTCACTCAGATCAAAGGCTCCAGCATAGGTTTCTTGGCATCTCCTCACTTGCCCACATAGTAGTATTTCCTGACATTATGATCTTGCATACATAAGCTTCTGATCATGTCAGAACCAACTTTGAAATGCATTTCTGTATAATAGACTATGCTGTTTATGTGAAAGGAGTTTCTTTAGCTGGTTTCCTATAATCAGAGATTATGCTGGGAATTTTCTTTCTCTTTTCCCATACTGGAAATTTAACATAGGTTCTTTGAATTCTGCTACACCCTCACACCCACTCCTCCCCCTTTTGGGGGACAGGGTCTTTTAGATGGTTAAATTGCCCAGAGTGGACTCAAATACGGTCCTTTTACCTCAGCCTCCCAGAGTGCTGAGATTACAGGTGTGAACACCACATCTGGCTAAGGGAATAGTCTTAGTGAAGCTTCTTCATCATATAAGGGTAGTAAAAACCTTAAAGCATCTTCTGTAGTATGTTGCTAGGAAATGTGGCTTTTTGGGTAAGGATAAAGTGGAATTAATTCTAGTAAAAGGTCAGCAGCAGGGGTCTGTAACATGGAAGTGGGGCCTCTGCTCTTGCGGCATTAGTGTGCAGAGAGTATAATGTCCCATGAGTTATGTTCTAGTTTGTTACTAGCCTACACTGGTGGCAAGTGGTAAACTACAGAATAGAATTTGAAAAAACACCTCTTGGGGCAAATGCAGGACATTGGGAAGGTGGTACAAACCTACTTTCTGATCACTGTGTTTGGTTTTTTTTTTTGATAATTATGTACTTTGTTTGATGTTATTGTCAGCACTGGAAGAAGCTGCAAAACGTTTCCAGGAATTGAAAGCACAAAGAGAAAGTAAAGAAGCACTAGAGGTTGAAAAAAACTCAAGAAAACCTCCTCCTTACAAACACATCAAAGTGAGTCTACTCATAAGAACACTGGTATTTGGTAGGAAAGATGAAATGTGTTACTTTGTCAGTAAAGGCTCTCTTTGACTTGTGGAAACTTCTGCTAATTATCAGCTAGTCTTCTCTGAAATCTACCGCTTGTTTATTGGAAACTTCAAATGGAGTCCTAGCTACAGGGCTCTGACATGTCCTACAAACCTCTTCATTCCTAGGGGCAACACGGCTCATGTGAAATCCTGCTCTTATTCTACTAGGTTACCCTTTAGCCAAATGAAAATAGAGGCATTTAGCCCCTTTATTCCAAAAAGCTCACAAGCATATTTTCAGTTACGAAAATTTCCATCAAGCAGTGGAAAGAGAAATATACCAAATAAGTAAGTGAAAGCACACATGAGGATTGTCTGTTTAAAAAGAGGTAGTTACTAGCTTATTTCTGGGGAAATTAACCACAAGATACTACAGAGGCCAGAATAGCCATGGTGTTTATGGTGATTTCTGTTCCTGTCCATTTGCTAACAGTGCACTTACCTTCTACTTCTCATTTGTGCTTCTGTTTCCTAGGCTAACAAAGTCATAGGGAAGGTACAGATCCACGTTGCTGACCTGTCAGAGATCCCCCGCTGTAACTGCAAGCCTGCTGATGAGAACCCCTGTGGCTTGGAATCGCAGTGTCTGAACAGAATGTTGCAATACGAGTGTCACCCACAGGTGTGCCCAGCTGGAGACCGTTGTCAGAACCAGTGCTTTACAAAGAGGCTGTACCCAGATGCGGAGATCATCAAAACAGAGCGGAGAGGCTGGGGCCTCAGGACCAAAAGGAGCATCAAGAAGGTAGCATGCACTGGAAAGAGGCAGGGGTCTGGTGTAATAGACTAGGACCTGAGTTTCTTAGGGTTGCTTACAAAATTTATTGGGATTGACTGAATATGATGGCATAAGCCTGTAATCCTAGCACTCAGGAGGCTGAGGCAGGAAGATTGCTACAAGTTTGAGACCAGCCTGGGCTGCATAGTGAGTTCAGGCCCAAACTCAGATGCATAGTAAAAACCTGTCTCAAAAAACCAAAAAACAATACACCAAAGTGGTAAGAATAGGAAAAATAAAATGGATATAAACTTTAAGAGTCCTTTTCATAAAATGGAGAAGGCACATTTGTAATTTTCTACTGGAAGTATGTTTTAACTTACTGAGCAACACAATGTAAAATTCTCAATAAAGAAATTACAGGAAAACTAAGAATGTACTAGGATGGAAACCTGGGACCTTAAGCTAACATCTTAATTCATTAGGCATAAATGTGTCACTGTGTCTCTTAATTTCCCTCAGCCTCACTTCTTATCTCTGAAATAGACTTAATGATGATCCCTGCCCTGCCTAGTTGAAGGTGGTTCAATTCTCAAAAATTAATTTTTTATGCAAAATTAGAAAAAGAGATCTTTAATAGTTATATTTTCAGTCTTACAGTTTGAGTTTTTCAAAGTGATATCTTTACTTAACATAAAAAATGCCCATTATAGAAAAAAAATTAAATGTCAAAAAGTGAAAGAAAAATGAGTATCTCCAATAAATCCTATTCAAAGAGTGACTCTCAAATTTCAGAGTTCCTGGCAGCCTTCTGAGGTCCTTGTTGCAAATAGTCTCTGCTAAATTAGACCTGGCACAGGCTTGGAATAATCTGTATTTCAGACAAGTTTCCAGCCCAATCCCATTCTCATTCTTCTTTGCCTCGTACCATCTGCTGCAACGAACTTGGAGGTGTGTCCGCTGAGAGACACAGAGCAAGTGGGAAATTTAAAATTGCTCTCAACATTTCTGTGCCTATTTATTTATTTATTTATTTATTTATTTATTTATTTATTTATTTTGGCTGGCTCAGCCTGCCCTGAGGGCGAAGCTGGTGTGGCATGTGGTACCAGGGATTGAACCATGGTCCCCTGTGGCTGCCTAAGCTTGCCTAAGCAGGCACTTCAGACCGCTGAACTATCTCACTGGTTCCTCTGTTCCTTCTTAGAAACTACCTTTGAAATTTAAAAATACCTTCTAATGGAGTAAAGTCAGTACCAGAAAGAAAAGAATAAAATTTCTCCTTCATCCCTACAATTCCTAGCTTCCTTCTCAGAAATAACCATTGTTAATGGTTTGGTCAACCTTTTAGACCTTTTTCTGTTCAGTGATAAACATAAATACATAAACCAACTCCCATGAGGTGTGTGACCATTATGTACTACAAATATGTCCTAGATTTTTTTCAGTAAGTGCATATATTCATAAAGTGTATATTTGTAGGGTTTTCTCAGCATAGGTATGATCACATTCTTTTTCTGTTTAAAAAAAATAACATATATATTTTTGGGTTTTTTGTTTTGAGACAGGGTCTCCCTATGCAGGTCAGACCAGCCTTGAACTTGCTATGTAGGCCAGGCTCTCCTTGAACTCACAATGATCCTTCTGCCTCAACCTCCAGAGTGCTGGGATTACAGGCATGTGCTATCACACCTAGCTCTCACTTCATTCTTAACAGCCCTGTTGTAGTTCATAGTAAAATGTACTGTGATTTATTGAGCCATTTCCTAGATAGATAGATTTCTTCTAGAACAAACACTGTTGGTTATCTATTTTTGTGCACCTCCTTCTGTAAGTTAGATTGTTTGGAGTGAAATTCATTAATTTAGTACAGATTTAAGCTTCTCATATGTGCCACATACTGTCTAGGTACTTTAGAAATAATAGTTTAAAAAGCCCTTCCTTTATGGATCTGCTAGAGGAAATAGGTAGTTAATAGAAATTTGTTAAATACTACTGACTGCTAACAAGAAAAGTTGGTTAAAGGGAATAGCTGGAGACAAAGATTGCTGTCTTAGATTGCACATTGAGGGCTTCCTGAGGAGGTGACATTTGTCCTGAATGGGTAAAGTAAGAGCTGCTTGGGTAGACACAGAAGAACATTTCACAGCAGAGGGAAAACAAAACCCAGGCCAAGGTCCAGTGCATTCTGGGGATAGTGGGCATGCTCATGGGCAGGGAAGTGGGGTAGAATGAACAGGGTGGGGAGATGAGGCAGGGTTTGTGCAGCCTGTAGGTTAGGGCTGGGAAACTCCCAAAGGGTTTTAGTAGAGAGTGACTTGATCTGGCTTGATATAATTTTTTCTTTTTTTTTTTTTTCCTTCATATGGGGAGGTACTTACTAGGGGTGTCAAATTTAGGGGCATCTTATCACTAGGCTACATTCCCAGCCCTTTTCATTTTTTGAGACAAGGCCTAAGTTTCCTAGACTAGCCTTTAATTTGTGATCCTCTTGCCACTAAGGCAGTAGCCTGAATCATAGGCATGTGCCACTATGCCCTGAGGTATAGCAGTTTTCTATTGCTTTGTTATAGTATTCCCACAAAGTTAGTGCTTTAGAATGCAATACACTGTACTATCTACAGTTTATGTGGGCCAACCATCTGGGTAATACTTAACTCGGGTCTCTCCTTTGCTTAGGGTCTCCCAGGGTTGAAGTAGAGGTTTCCAGCATTGCTTATGGATAGATCATCTTCTAGGAGTTTGTTGGCAGGACTCTGCTTCTTGTAGCTGTGGGTGTGAGACCTTCAAGGTGTCTTTGTGCTGTTTGGGGGGACAAGCCTTGCCATTGGTTGGATACTGCTCTCCTCTGGAGCTGCCCATAGTACCTTGCTATGTAGGTCCCCTACAATTAGCAATAATCACTTCTCAGATAAACCTCATTGGCTTCAGGTCCCCTACAGAGGCACTTGCTTCCTTATAGCCAGCAGGGTGGAGAGCTTCCAGCAAAGCAGACACCAAGTCCATATGGAATGAAGTCACATAATGAGTACATATATGCTGTATCAGTTAGGGTTCACTGAGGAGCACCTTTAATGTAAAACATACCTGTGAGATATAAAGTATTTGTGAGGTAGGCTTACAATGGCTGCCCTCAAAGTCAGGGATAAAAGAACCATCTGCACACCTGAGAGCTGGAGCATCCAGTGAGAAGTCGAAAGCCTGGAGCTCACTGCAGTGTCTACTGTGACCTTGCAGTTGCGGTATCAAAAGCCAGAGTCTGCACTGTACACCTGGAGATGGCCTCCAGTGCAATCGCAAAGGTGGGAGCTCCTCCAAAGAAGCAGAAGCAAGCCTTCCTTCTTCCGTCTTCCTTCTTCCTTTTTATTACACCCAGACTATAAGCCTGTTGTTTGATGCCAGCCACATCTGTTGTGAATCTTCCTTCTCAGCACATCAGTCATCCAGAACTTTGCTAGTACACTAGGTGATTCTTATTCTTCATCAAATTGACACCACAGTTAACTCTCACACCTGCTACAGCCCTTGCCTGATGGTGTCAGTTAGAAGCAAATCACAAGTCCTGCACATGGGGTGGAGATTTGTACAGTGGGGGGAGCACCAGAAGCCAGGGGTCATGTGATCACTTTGAGAGTCTGTCTACTATACTTTTGGGTTTTAGAGCATAATGTTGGCTGGACTGTGTGGGGTTTATGAGAAGGGAAAAAGTGGTAAGAAAACCAGAGGCAAGAGATGACTTTGCGTGACACTACTGGGCCTTGGGTGAGCAGTGATTGGGTTTTTTGACATGTCAAAGGTAGATAGATCCAGCAGGATTTGCAGATGCATCGGATATTTGATTTAGTTTGCAGTCAGAGGCCAAGCATGTTTAAAATGTTACATAATGCAAAAAAAGCCATATTTCTTTAATGTTATACATACCATGCATGTAAATTTATATTTTCAAGAATTTATGGCATCCTGAAATCCTCCTATCATATCGTTACTACCTTTTGTTTTTATTTATTGTGTGTTACAGATAGCTCAGCGGATTAAAGGGCCTGCAAGTGGGCACAGGGGCCAGGGGTTCAATCCCCCAGCCTGCCATGCTGGCCCCATCCCAGGGTGTGCTGAGACAGCAGTTGAGACTGGGCATGGTGGCACCTGCCTGTAATCCCAGCTCTTGGGAGGCTATAAACAAGTGGATCACTACGAGTCCAATCTAGTAGTGAGACCCTGAACACCCTGTAGACCCTTCCCTAAAATACAAAAAATAAATAAAGAGAAAGGGGGAAGGTTTTGCCATACAATAGCTAAAATAATAATAGGAAGTACCAGTGTAGCCATATAATAATGCAGTCTGAGAGCTGGCCAGATAGCTCAGCAGATGAAAGTGCCTGCTTAGGCAGATGCAGGGACTGGGGTTTGATCCCTGGTGTGCCATGCCAGCCCCGCCCCTGGGGCACACTGAGAGTGCAATTGAGACTGGGCGTGGTGGTGCACACCTATAATCCCAGCGCTTGGGAAGCTGAAAACAAAAGGATCACTATGAGTCCTATCTATGTAGTGAGACCCTGTAGACCCTTTACTAAATACATTAAAAAGAAAAAGCAGTCTTCTACTCAGGGCTGTGATACCATGAAGGAGTGTAAAGTAGTGTCCATCAGCTCAGGTTGAATACTCGCTATGAGAAAAAGCCATTGGAAGCTCATAGTACATCAGATGTGAAGGCGCAGAACACTGAGTCCTTCATGAGCAGAAACTGCAAAGGGGGAAAGATTAACTGTTCTACTTATGATCTTGCCATAATGAATGAAAATACATTTTTGGCCTCTTTGTCATAATTTGTGCAATAAATAAGAACAAGAGAGAAAACTCTGGTGAGCTTTTTGGTATCTACTCCCCAGGGGGTATAAGTGTGCAGCTCTGTGGAGCCAGTAGGTGTCCTTGCCCGTGTCGCCCAAGGCACATTGCCAAAGAAGGACTGACACAGGCAAGGGATAGGGTTGGGCCTTCCAATTTTCCCCTGACTTCTCTTAATATAGATATGTGACCTATTTTTATCAATGGAGAGTAATCAGGCATGGTGGTGCACATCTGTAATCCCAGCACTTGGGAGGATGAGACAGGAGGACAACCTGGGCTATACAGTGAGTTCAAGGCCAGCCTCAGGCCAGCTTCAACTGCATAGTGAGACCCTGTCTGAAGAAGACCAGAGAGAGAGAGACAGAAACAGGGAGACAGAGAGCATTGTTAAGAGCATTGGCTTATGTTTTTAGTCTTTAGATTACTGATATTTACTATCAGCAGTTCTAATATTAAGAGCTCTCAGTGAAATAATAAGTAAATGCATGTTTCTTTCCCAGGACATTTATTGTTTTCTGAAGTATCTGCAAACCCTGTACACCATGCTGTTGTGCTAGGCTGAATGAACTATGTTGTGCAGGTGAAAGTTTAGTGACCGTGTAATCACAAACACAGAGTGTAGGTGCGTGCGCAGTGCTTCTTCTTGTGTTAAATGCAGTGCCACTGCACCCCCTTTGGAGCAGCCACAATGGCACAGCCAGTGCTGGGTTCTGGCAAGGGTGGGGGGTGGAGGGAGAACATAAGGACTGGCTATATAATAGTTTGTATTTTCTTTTAAAAAATCAAACAAATCACTGGCATTTATTCCAGAAAAATAAAGCCATATATATTCATCAGAAAACTTGTCCAGAATGTTCATAGCAACTTTATTTGTAATAGCCCAAATCTGGGGACCACACATGTGTTCTTCAGTGGATGAGTGGTTATCTCAGTTACTTTTCTTTCGTTGCTGGGACAAAATACCTGACACCCTAAATTAGGAAAGGGGAGCAAGCCTCTCTTCCTTCCTTATATTGCATTCAGGGTATCTGTCCCAGGGTAGGTGTAGCACTCATACCCATAATCCTAACATTGGATCTCAAATCGGTCATAAACTCTAGAAGCCTGCCCTATGACCACATGAGGCTTTGGGCGGGGGGGCAACTGAACACAAACCATACTGCAGTGGTTAAACTGCAGTACCTCCATTCTGAGGAGTTCTGCTTGGCATTAAAAACAACCCATGGTACACACAGCTTCTATTACTCTGAAGGAAATTAGCCTGAGGGTTTTGTCTTTTTTTTTTTTTAAAAAAAAAACCCTGTTTCAAGCCAGGTATGATGCCTATTAACCTACTACTCAGGAGGCTGAGAGGATCTCCAAGAGTACAAGACCAGAGTATAGGAGGATCACCAAGACTACATAGTTCAAGTGTCTCCAGAATAAAAGGGAATTTCCAAAGGCTGCATATTGTATGATTACACTCTCAGGTCTTCGGAGAGGTGGCACAGTTAGTGCAGTGGGGCCCAGATGAGGGTTTTCGGGTGCTCTCTAGTAGAAGGATGTGTGACTGCATGGGCATGGTCCTTGCTGCCCCAGGTGAAGGAGCAGCTGTGTGTCTTCATCATGGTGATGCCCGTGTGACTGCATCTGACAGAGCGACCAGAGCTACACACAGACACACACATGTAACCCAGGGGAGATGGGATGAGGCTGTGTGCCAGTGCCATTTGCTGGTGTTAGTGTAGTGTTCCCAGGGATGTTACCTTTGAAGGAGGTTCCGTGAAGGGTAGAGCTCTCTGTGCTTCTTTTCTAACTTTCTGTAAATATCTATAATTATTTTAAAATTTTCAACCACAAAAGCAGAGTGGATTTACTTCAAATTTACATCTTTTGCAGTTCTTACTGGTGATCCTTCTCTCAAAACTACAAACTAGGAACAGGCTCTGATAATACAGCTTCAGAAACCAGGCTCAGCTGTGTGCTCAGGTCTCAGGCACAGCCATGTGTCAGCTGGAAGCAGCAAGCTTTTGAGGCTCTTACACAAGAAAAATGTCTCCACTTGAGCAGCCATGAATAAATAGCAACTATTTATTTCTAGGGTTCAGGTCAGAGTCTCAGAGAATTCTTTTTAGCTAAATATGCATAGTGGCACATGCGTGTAATCCCAGCACATGGAAGGCTGAGGCAGAAGGGTTACCATAAATTCAATGGCAGCCTAGGCTACATAGGAAACTCTTAACTCAGTTAATCAGACAACCAATCAACTAAGAAATAATTATATTGGATTATGTACCTGTTAAGGGATGCCTTCTTATGTAATACACTAATTTTACAACTACATATTGCATGCTTCTCTCTGCAGGGCGAATTTGTAAATGAATATGTTGGTGAATTAATTGATGAAGAAGAATGCAGACTTCGAATCAAGCGAGCTCACGAGAACAGTGTAACTAATTTTTATATGTTAACTGTTACCAAGGTAAAATTGCCTTTTTTTTTGGGGTAAGAAAAAGGGATTTTTTTTGTTGTTTATTTGTTCTTGTTTCATGGTTTAAGGTTGAATTCACTTGCTTTTGATTGTTGTCAAGAAAATGATAATGATTTGCAGTAGCCACCATGCTTCCTACAAGAAAATGTTTATTACACAGAGTATGAGATGAGCCTGTTCTCTTTGGCACAGCGACTCACCCTTACACTGACGTATCATGCACTTCCTTTCCTACTTTTACTTGGCCTAGACTCACTTTATAGAGCCTATTTCTTTTCCTACCTTTAGTGTAACTTTGCTACCATTAAAAAAAAAGAAGTACAAGATGGGTCACTGGAAGCCTTGCACGCCTCTTGAGAGAGACTGAGAATGATGTCCACTGTAGACATGAGTCCCAGCTCTTTCCTCAGTTACTATAAGCCCTGAGCTTCCGTTTCTCACTGAAGGAGAGAATCAGCACTGTTATTAAATTTCTAATTTAGTAAAAACTCTCAAATCAATGTATTAAAACCTTTTAAGAAATGAGTTGGAAAAATGAGCACTGTCATAAGAGAAATGACAGTGAAACCTATACTTTCTTAGTGTAATTATAAGACCTGAATGTATTTGCACATTATATTCTTTCTTTTTTTTTATGTTTTTGTATTTTAGGGAAGGGTTTATAGGGTGTTCAGGGTCTCACTACTAGATTGGACTCGTAGTCATCTGCCTGTTTACAGCCTCCCAAGAGCTGGGATTATAGGCATACGCCACCACGCCCAGTCTCAGTTGCTGTCTCAGCGCATCCTGGAGGCAGGGCCAGCATGGCAGGCCAAGGGCTCAAACCCCTGGCCCCTGCACCTGCTTGCAGGCACTTTAATCTGCTGAACTATTTGGCCATCCCTTATATTCATTATTTCATTGAATTTTTTTCAGCAGTCCTCTACTTGTAGAGGATAGGAAACTGTGATCCAAGTATAAGTGATTTGTTGAGTATCTTGTTACAGTTTTAAGAAACATGACTAGCTGGGCATGGTCGTGCACACCTGTAATCCCAGCCCTTAGGCTGAGACAGGAGGATTGCTGCGAGTTTGAGGCCAACCTGGGCTACCTAGAGAGTTTAAGTCCAGCCTGGACCACATAGCAAGACTCAGTCTTAAAAAAAAAAGAAAAGAAACAAGACTAGTACCCATGTTGTCTGTCCCAGAATCTCTAATAGGAGTCATAATAATAGCATTAGGGCTAGGACTTAGTTCAGTAGGGGAAGCCGTGGGTTTAATCCCCAAAACCACCCCCAAAAACCCCAGTGTGTATACAATTAAAAGAGAGGAAAAAAAATTAAAAAATAAATAGGAAGAGGGATCATTTGAAAGAATTTTAATTGATGTGCTATTATTCAGAAGTTCTACAATTTCCATAAACATATTTTATGAGTGTAAAACACCACTATTTATAATGCTGTAGTCTGATTCCTTGAATCCTACCTACCTGGCCAGCAGGCCTCCAGCCAGAGAAGCAATACTTGAGAAGCTCAGTCCTTGGAGTTCATCCAGATCACCAGAGTTCAGGTGTAGGTGGCCTTTTTGTTACTGTAATTTTTTTTTTTTTTTTTTCGGAACCGGGGTTTGAACTCAGGCCCTTGCACTTGCCAGGGAAGCGCTTATTCCACTGAGCCATCTCCCCGGCCCCTGTTACTGTATTTTGAACTCTAGTATAAGTGAAAATGCATTAGTCACTACTGGAAAGTGTCCCACACCATAACAGCCAGCCTGTCAGACTGAGCTCCAAGTCTTCATTTAGAGAAGCTTTCTCATTTTTAATTCTTCTGTCTTTATGGCTTGTATTTGTTCACGCTATAGTTTTGTTCCCTGCTTCAAGCAAGAAAGAAAGGCTGACAATAAGATACCATATAGTTATCTGAAAGTCTAATCAGGAAATGCTTAAACATAAGGCCCACTAATGAAAGTAGCATTTTCTATGGTGTTTGTTTCTAGAAGCAAGCTTAGAAAGAAACTATATTCCACGTTGATTACTTGAACTTAAAATTTATCAAGCAAAGTAAAAAACTTAGGACATGGCACAAGGTGTGTCATGTGTACAGTCATCCTTGTCAAACACCAGCTGGCAGCAGGCACTGCTACCCTGTGGCCTGGACTCAGCTGGATATGTCTGAAACAGTTTTTTTTAGTTTCATGGCAAAGGAAACTTCCTTTTGTTTTCTCCCTGAAGGACCGTATAATTGACGCTGGCCCAAAAGGAAATTATTCTCGTTTTATGAACCACAGTTGTAATCCAAATTGTGAAACACAGAAATGGACAGTGAATGGAGATGTTCGAGTTGGACTCTTTGCTCTTTGTGATATCCCTGCAGGTGAGAAATCCCTGTGCTGGGGCTGGGGATTTGGCTCAGCGGTAGAATGCTTGCCTGGCAAGCTGGAAGCCCTGGGTTTGGTTCTCAGCACCAAAAAGAAAAATAAACCTCCCCTAAGAAAACCATGTTCTTCCTGAGCCTCTCACAGTCAAGGTGAGGGCCAGGGTCAGGGTCAGGACTAGGCTAAGGGTGAGGTGTAGAGTTAGGGTGAAAGTTGTCTTTTGAGGGCAAGACATTATTCTTCAAGGGTGGATGCTCAGCTGTTAACTCAGGTAAGACTTGGTGTTGTATCTGGAGTTGAGTGCTCTCTGCCAAGGAAAGATAAAAAGCCTTAGCTAAAGCCTTTCTGTCAGAGAAGGCATAGCAGATTCTGTGGTCCCTGGGTATTACTTCTCCAGATTATTGCAGTCTGTAATGTATTCAGCTG